ATATTTTTAAAACGCAGTTTACGACATTTGAAAGCTTAGGAAAAATGCTAATTTTCATGTCTCCTGAGAAATTTTGATCCGATGCACCGTTCTCGCGGTATGGACGATTGAAATTTGTTTAGTATTTTGAGGCGACGAAGGTCGAAAAATTGAATTTGTTAAATGTTCAAACACTAAATTCTTTATAACATTGTTAAAAATTAAGATATTTGAAAAAACAAAAATGCGTTTTGAACTCAAGGGATGTGACTAGTGATTCCCAGACGGGGGGCAAGAGAAATCCCAAAATTGGGCATATGGCGGAAGGGCAAAATGCACCGCGGTCCTAATTTCATTGTTTGCCTATAACGGCCAAACTATTTGAATTTTTTTAATGCCACTTACAAAGCTTACTCTTAAATGTGAAATCTTATGTGTATGTGAATTTCACCGACATCAGACCATAATTAGCTAAGATATCAAACAATTAAATAATTTTTTTTTTCCTTAAATTTTTTTTTTTTTTTTTCGAAAGTTTGAAGTGGCACAAAAATGCCAAAAATGCACCCAATGGCTCAAAACTTTTTTTTTAAGTACTCTATTGTGTCTAGAATACGATTACATTACGGAAAATTCTGCAAATATATTTTATCTAATTTTTTGACCACTGTTCATTGAGTGACGACCAAAAAACACGGTTTTTGAGAAAAGTTGCCTAAAATTGACAATTTTTAGTTTTTTTTGTCTAAAAATTAAACAAACCCAAACTTCATGTCTTCTAAATGTGTATACAAAGTTTAAAGTGTGTAAGTTGTAGAATTCTCCCGACAAAAGTCCCATTACACGCGCTCCGCGGGATCCAAAACTCGTGTATACACTACATTACTGTAACTTGATTTTTTTGCGTTTTCCAGTTTTAAATTTCTTACATATCTAAACTTATTAGGCTTAAAATTTATTAAATTGTATTTTACTGACTTGTTATAAGACGTTTCTTGAGTTTTGTGCAAAATATAGAATTACCAGATATTAGCGAACAAAAAGCAAGCTTATCACCAAGTTGGAACTTACACTCAGGCTTAGGATTAATTTCCTAACATTTTTAAAGTATACCTATTTGTGTATTTTTTTGTGCTCTTTTCGATGGCGAAGTTAGTTTTTTCAAATATATTTTTTTTGTTAGATGTTTTCGGAAAACCCGGAAAAAATCATATGGGAAAAAAATAAAAAAAAAAAACTACGCCTCTGGTTTCCTGCGAATTCCCGAAAAATGATGTCAGATTTCGCCGCGGGACTTATTTTATTTGAGAGCCAACAAAAAAATACGCAACTTCTCTCATGGGCACATATGTCTAACATTTATAAGTTGGCCACAAATTCATCGCAAATTTCATGGCCATGGTTCTAATCAAAAAAACGAAAAAACGACTTTTTGGTAAAAGCACTTCTGGCGGCGAGAAATTCGCCATTAAAACTACCTGTGCAATGAATTTCCGAACTATTTTTGCCTCCTCTTTCGAATGGTGCAATTATTTTCACTATCGGAATGATACTTGCCCAGATAATTAGCATTTTTACAATGGAAAATTCTGGAAAACCCGGTTTTTCCTAATTTAAAAAAATTGAAAAACTGCTACATCTTTTTTTTCTTTTTGTCGGACAGATCACATCAAAATACACAAGGTCCTTTTTGTTTCATCCAATTACAAATTAATGTAAGCTCAAGGGGCTTTTTTTCGTTATTTAATTGAACTATAATACGTTTAATTTTTTATTAACAAAAAAAAAGTTAGATCTACAAGGCAAGTACAATGTTATTTGCAGTTAAATATTTAGTTAGGTGGGATGTTTCAAATAATTAAACCTTACCGAATTTTCGTGAATGTCCACAAACACCAACGGTGACAGCACACTTTAGTCTGCATTTTCATTTGAACAAACCACTATATCTTCGTAGACTCCACAGTTTTCGCCTCCTAAAGACCCAAATCAATCTATTTCGTCAGACCTAATGGAAGAATCCGATCCTGAAGCCATTTTAGCTATACAAAAATTATCGTAAAATTACCAGTATTATTGTAAAATTGTTTTATTGCACTTGCTAAAAGCTTCTCACTTCTAACGGTTAAATGCAAAAATACAGAAATTTCCACGCGGTAATTCACAGAACAAAATTATCTCGACCACGAAACAACATCAAATGTTTGACCTACAATGCTTGAGAGGCCGGAAAAGTGTGGCAAATAATCCGGTCGGAAAAGTGTTGCATTTTCTGCGACTTCTGTGACTTCTACGAGAGAGTGGAAAAGGCGGGAAAACCGGAAAAATTTACGTGAAAAGCGGGACTTGGAATTATTTAAAAAAAGGCGGGACAGATTAGCAAAAAGCGGGACTGTCCCTCCTATGGAGGGACGTCTGGCAACCCTGCTGAAGACCTAGGTATTTTACTATTTCGCTTTACCCCACCATTTCATTATACCCCTTTTTACCCTATCTGCTACATAAAGTCAATCTAGCTTTTCAATTTGAAGAAAAAATAACTAAAATCAGAAATTCTCCACTTAAAAGCCCTGTATATCGAAAATTGGTCATAGTATCGGATTTAAAATTCATACCTCTTGAAACGGTTTTAAAATTATTATATAAGTACTGAGAAAATGGTTACATTTGACAGGTGAAATGTTAAAATAGTGGTTTTTGTACTTTTTTTTATAATAGAATACTTCCAACAAATAAATCAACTTGTATATTTTTAAGCTTAGAGGTACACATATTTTAATGGCATTTATTTTTTTTAAATTCATCCATGGATTACAGGGGTATGAATTAATTCTTTAAAAACATTAATTTATGTTGTAGTTCTCTCTGTACAATAAATGTGTACTTGAAAATATTTTGTCGCCAAAATACCATATTGAGTAGTACTTATTAAAGATATGCTACCCTGACGTCAGAGTAGAATTAGTGAGATTTTGCAAAAACACTATCATCATAAATTTCTGAATCACTCTGTAATTAAAAATATTTTTAATTGTACGTATGTACTAATGTATAACTAAATCACGCTTGTAAGTTTGAAATTAAAAATTCCGAAATACTGGGCAATTTTTACTAGTTAGTCCAGGCGAAATTTTTGGTACAGCTTAGAAACCCAAACAACAACTTTTTTTAACAAAATTTCACTATGCGCAGAGATGATCGGAAGAAGGTAATATATGTATACAGTATGGTTCAAATGAAAGGAATACACTCATTACAATGAAAGTAGCTTTTTCGAGTAATTGCTCGGCAGGTCAATTTTGTTTACTAAAAGCTCAATTTTTCAAAAAGAATTTAAGTTTCCCCCCACTTTCCATTTTCGAACAGTAACGTCATTGAAATTTTTTTAAATAGTAACCCTAACTTTTTTTAATTTATTTTGACAATTTTTTTGAATAAAAGTCATTTAAAGATCAGACACAAATTTTATTTTGATAACACAATAAATTAAAAATCAATAGGCTTTGTCCCCTTATAGAGCTTGATGTTTACTTAAAATTTTCAAGTTGATATCATTTCTCGTTTTTGCATTATCATGCAGACACAAAACGTGACATCGGACAGACGGACAAAGTAAACCTATAATACTCTTCACAGAATACTGTATGAAGATTAGAAAAAATGTATAAGATAAAATAAACAGTTTAAAGAGGTCAACAATAATATTCAACTTGTGTTATCAAAGAATACTAAAAGTTTGAAATAGCAGCACATAATTGAACATTTACAGAAATCTGTGAACTAAAATAGTAAGATACACATCGTAAAATGTTATCACCATATGACCCTTTTTAAGTGTATTTCAGAGTACATTCCAAAGTATTCTTGCTCTCGCTACTTTCCTATCCTCATAAGACTTTTGCATATACATGTTTAATAAAAAATAATGTATTTTAATAAATACAAAAATAATAGTATTTTTTTCTAAATAGATAAATCGGCTTCATCTGTATTTTCAAATTATTGTTTAATTGTAGATAATATATTAATGTTTTGATATCTACTTATATGATTGATTACCCAGAGCATGTAAATATGTGAGATGTGACTTTTTAAGTGCCTAATCAAAATCAAAATTTATGTTTAATACTTATTGCTCATTTCGAGACATACTTTATTACTAACTGTAAACTAATTTACCAACAGCCCTATTTTTATTTAATACCTGCATGATCTAAATTACCAATACATCTAATATTTTTGAAAACACTAAATTATACAAACAAGGCAATAAAAAATTGTAATTAAAATAACAGATTTCAGGGTAACACGATTGATAATTAACATATATAACATAGATAAATAACATATATAAACTATTTAATTGTACATACCATTTCTTATATTTATATTACAATTTTAATAAACTTGTACTAGGATATCTATTAGCATTATTTAAGAAAATATTGTTTTCCTTCCGTACTATGCGTAATACATAATTTTTACAGGAGTAACAAAATGAAGATAATTCAGTCTTCTTGCTAAATTGTATGACCACCCCAAAGAAAGTTCTAAAAAAATGTCAGGATGTGAGGGTGGTTTGAAGCCTTCTACAATTTCTTTTGGGTTTCTTTGATTAATGAAAGGAGAGTAATCCTTTGGTAAAATTTCATTTAATTTGTTTTACTCATTTCTGAGCAGCGTACACAAATGTGTTTCTTTATGTAAACTTTGAACTTTTCTCACGTTCAAACGGTACATTTTGGTATATAAATAAATTGGGTCCAAACGACTTCTTTTGAGCTCTACTACACGTGGTAGCTCTGTGTCCTAGCAATTTTGGGACAGGGTATATTCACAAACTAAATCGTAACATCCAATTTAGGTCCGATCCTGCACCTACCTTCTATCCTTTGTTGCGCCGTAATTGCAAAAAAAGTCAAAATTATCTATCAACGAGGTAAATTAATTCATGTTGCTAAAAAATTATGGACTAAAAAAATTAGTTTATGAATAAATATTAACATTATTGATAATATTAACAAGGTTGAACGTAGTCCTAGTAGAAAAATTATTTATTTATTCATCAGTCTGTTATTAGTGAATATGTGGCTATTGTTAGCAGCGATCTTATTACCTTTAGCAATATTTTATTATAAAAGAAGGCAGAAAAGATATGAAGAAGTTTGGAAACATATTATGGCCATTCCCGGACCTAAAGCTTATCCTGTGATAGGATGTTCATACAAATCATTTACCCCAGGTTAGACCTACTATTATTCATTTTTGGTGCTTCTGGTAATGTCGGTAACTGTAAATTTGTACAATATTTACATGTTTAATTTAAGGAAAATGTAGGATTTAAGAGTCAATAAACTTGGGCAGTATTCTCTATAACTAATTTAACAAAAACAAAATATCTTATAATGGCCCTTGTGTAATTCTGGCTTATGTGTTTATAGTCCCTTATCTGACTGCAAAACGTGGCACGATATGTTTTATGCTTGCTATTTGTAATTGGGTACAGGGGATGACAGTGAACAACATGTACTATGCCTCGGTAATGGCACAGAAGAAAGAACAATACAAAAAAGAAAGTAATGGTCGGAACTTTGAAGTTGAAGGGATAGAAATATTTGACCTTGAGTTCCACCACAAAGATATTTTAAAAAAACGTAACTATTCACAGTACACGCGAACGTAGCTATTCACTGAACCTACACTGCGAAAACTACATTTCTCTTTTACAGAATTATGTGTCATATTTTATGAAAATTTGCATGAATGAATTTTAAACTATTCTTGATTTAAGAAAAATATTTTTTAATTTGTAGCACTTCCGACAGAGGTTTTAAAAATGAAAATTATAAAGTTTTAAACAATAGTTTATTTTACCCTGTCATAATGAACTATTAATATTGTGCCACAAATCTCACTAGTCATTTATGAATCATAAGTATAAATCAATTGTGATAATTGTTAAAAAATCATTAGCTAAAGCTAAAGCGTATTTTAGAGATTTTATAAATAAACAAAAAGAAAAATAAAAAACATGTATTTATGCAATTGATAAGTTTATAATCTATGCATGTATTTTATTAAAATAGAATTTTTAAATGGAATTATTTTAAGATTCTTTTTTATTACATATGCAATAAGGATACTTATTATTAATAATAATTTATAATACCAATAAAACTAAAAATGAAATTAAAAAACAATAGTGAAACAAATATATACCTGATAATAGTACATAAATATATTATAAAAAACGGTAAAAAAAAAACAGTTGAGAAACTATGTACTCAAATTACGTACATGTTTAATTAGACTTATATTGTCTAAAAAAAAGGATCACACACCTATGACATATTTTGTTAAAGCTATTACATAATATTCATAACATAACAAAATCGTTTTACGAGTAAGTATATGAAAATTAAAATAATTAAAATTGTTTACAAAAATTTATAGAGCAAGCCTAATTAATAATACATAGATAAGTAGCTTTATTAAAATAGCTACATCCTAATATACAACTATGTAATAAGCTCTGCGAAATTACAATACCTGCGAACGATTTTTTTTAAAATTGCTTGCACATAGCATGAAAATCTTTCAATGTATATTCGGAGGCTGGATTTTTCTTCTTTTTTGCAACAAACAAACGTTTCCTTAACGTTGCTATCTTCAGTCGCAGTCTCTGCTTTCTTGGAGTGTTTGAATACACTACTCGTTTGAATTTGTGCTGTTGGACAAGGTAGAGGAACAGATGGTTGACTATGAACTTGTTCAATAGATTCTACTTCTGCTGAAGTTGAGGGTAGGCACAAGCTGTCTTTGCCTTTTTCGCTATGAACAACAAATTCCTCTAAAAAAAAAGAAAGAAAAAAAACAAATTTTTATCAGATCAACTAGTTTTAAGAAGGTGCATCATTTGTCAGAATTAAATGTTTAAGTCACACTTTTTAGCCAGATGAAACTTGCAATAATTTCATGAAATGTGAATATATTTTTGTGCCTAGGAGGTAAACTGCAATATGTCATTCTAGTCAACTGTTTAGTACAGCAGATTGAATGTTGTTAAATTATTAAATTTCAACTAGATATGCATTTGGACACCCCATTTATTGTCACAATATTTGTATTTTTCACTAACCTAACTGATAAAACTACTGTATTTTAATTTGCATAAGTTGTATGTCGACATAGTGCAGTTTACCTCCGAGGCAGTTCTATAAAATGGAATATATGGGTTGATATTCTAAGATTATTAGTACTGGTCAGTCCCACATACTTTGATTTTTGTGGGTCAGTCCACTGAAAAGTGTCATGAACAAAGTCATTTGAATTTTATGTTAAAGTCGTGCAGCTATTCGCTCAGTGCGAAGTCATGGTAGGAGAAGCAAAAGCGATAATAGCGCTAGCTGTGGATAATTCGTGCCTTTAGGGCGATATTTTGTAATTTTGGCATATCAAATACACGTGTCAAAAAAGTAGATAAAAACAATACAATAAGATTAATAAGCAACCAGAGTTGCTATGTTGAAAATTTTAAAAATACTAGCAAAAAAAAAACAGTGAAAATTATAAAAATTTGCAGTAGCAAAGTGGAAATTAAATCAAAGAAATAAATGGATAGGTGTACAATAAGAAGAAAAATAACTTTTATTTTTGTAATAATAACAGTAATACTGGAAATAGTAGACTGGAAACTTGAAAGGTTTTAAATAAACAATAAATTATCATTTTACGATGTCTTTCAACATCCATTTATTCTTAAATGTTCAGCAAGGACTAGACTAGACTACACAGAATGGAAGCTTTGAGCTTGTAAAGTGTTAAAAATGTTAATGTATATTATATATTTTGGTTTTAAAGCACATTATTGCCCTCATAAAACTTCGATTCTGCCATGCGATTCTGCCTTGTAATTTAAGTCGGCTAAATATTTATTATAACAATACATAAAAACTGTTCTATTATTCAATAAAAAAGGTGTTTTGAAATACATAGATATCCTATATTATTACATTAGCATTTTTGTATTTTTTAAATGGATTATAAAAAACATTATTTTGGAATTTCGTTTAAAAATGTCGCTTACGCATTATCGTTTTCAAGAATGTCTCATGGCCGACAACTTGTTAATTTGTTTTTATATTTGAGTATTTGACAATTTAAAACTTTTAAAAATATTAAAATAATATATTATTTTCTTATGGATGGTCTGGCGGTTAGTAACCCTGAAACAATCTAGTAAGCGAAAAAGTTTGTCGCTTACAATATTTAAAACCTAAATATTGCAATCATCGGGATTTTTGGCAGTTAATTAAGAGCCCTTTCAGACACAACGATTTCGTCCGTACGGAAAAAATTCGTACGGATATTTTCCGTGCGTCGTTGATAGTAAACTAATAAAATTAACAGCAGCTTTCATACAGGACGGATACGGATTTTTTTCGTACGGTCGATTTGAAAACAGCCGTGCCAACGACTGAATTGTACCGTACCGTCACCGTCTATCAGTGGCCTATGAAACTTTTAGTCTAAGAGCCAGTGGACGGCTAACTGTATGTATTTGACCAGATCTGAGTTTTTGTATACTGAGGCCTCTATACCTACCATACCTGAAAAGGGGAGTCACAAAGCCCAAAGTTGTGGACGTGGCGGGCGGTCAGGTAAAACAGGTATCGATTTTTGGCAAATTTTAAATGCATTTGACCACGTCTGCCGTTTTGATATTTTAAAATATATTATTATTATTAGAAAACAACAATGGCAGACCATTATCGCGTGTTTAACATTATGGCAGACAGTTTTGAAAGAGCTGAAATTAATAAAATTTTGAAAGTAATTGACCAGATCTGCCATTGATATATTTTATTTATTAGGGTTTTAAAAACTTATATTCGTCAAGGCGGACGTCTTCATTGAGTACACACGTCAGCAGACAACAAAATCTTAGCTACTATCCGGCCAGGTGCATGCATACACAGAAAAAAATTATCATCTACTTTCAAGAAAAGCTTTATACTTTGAGGATTACACATTTGTTTGAAATAAAGCAGAGTTTGCTTCAAATAATATTTCTTGATAAAATAAGAAAATAAATGTTGAGTAAAGTGTAGGCATAATCTTGTATTTTAAGATTTATAATAATTAATCTGAGAATAAATTATTTCATTCGAGTCTAGAATTGTTAATTAATCCAAAAATTTACGTTTATTGTAAGTATGACTATCGCGTACTTGATTCAATATTATAAAAGGATTCGATTCAAAGCATTTAAATTTCAGAACAAGAATTAAAAAATTCGAATGTACTTATAAAAGATTAGCGATTACAAATTCATTGCACGGTGTTGCCAGCTGAAACTTATTTTAAAATAGAACCACTGTACTGGTACGGTAGATATATGACTGGTACATGTTGACATATGACTGGTACATGTTGAGATATGACTGGTACATGTTTAGATGTGATACTTATTAGTCGGAAGTCAGACACAACTTGGCATTAGCACGTGTTCATTCTAATGTCCATTTTCTGGTAAGTTTGCGTCGCATCGTTAGGGTTGCGTTCTACTTTTTGTTAGAAATTCTTTGTGATTCAATTAATAAGTGTATGAATAAATTAAATTGAAATGGTAGATTTGTTAGATGGATGGGGCCTCAGCCACCTGATACCAATATTTAAATGTAAGTATATTTACTTCACGTCTTGTTAAGTATTATATTATATATGAGTAAATTTATTATCATAAAAGCAGGAAACAAACTGGAATAGAAGTAAAAAAAAATGTACGATACTGGATAACGACTTTTTGGAAAGAAGACTTCTGTCTTGCTAACGCAAGAGTTCGTATCTACAAAAATTCCTATTTTAAGATTCTTACAAATTTAATAAGCTTACATTTTATTTTATTATGAGACAAAATAATAAGGGCCTATAAAAATATTTACTATAATTGTAAGAAAAGGTTAGTAAAATATGCAAAACTTATTTGCAAAATCTAAAAGGACGTAAATATCTACCTACTCACATTTACTAAAAATATTCATTTTGCAGATACGACCTCTTATCTTAACAGGACAAACTTTTATGTTCCCTTTAGGTTTTGTAGTTATAAAATTATTTTTTTTTTAATTATAGGTAGGACACCTCAGAGCAGATGAATTTGGTGCATTAACTAAAAACAATTTTGAAAAATATTTTTCGGTGGATAGGTACCGTGAGAACCCTATTAAAAAGCAAGAACGG